AGGCCTGGGATCTGGTGCCGGTGGGCTCCCCCTCTGCCCCCAGCCCCCGCCATCTAGAACGAGGACCCGGCCTGAGGGGCCATGACCGCTGTGGCACCCCACCCCGCCCGGAGCTGCTGACTCGGAGAAAATGGAACAAAACAGCGGCGGGAGGAAGGGGGGCATTATTGTAAAAACAGCCCAGCCCGGCCGCGGAGGCCTCCTGGGCCCAGGGAGGAAACGAGCCGGCCTGCGGCCCGCCAAGTTGGACGTGGCCTCCATGAGTCACCGGCAGCGGGGAGCTTGGGCGGGGGGCTCCGGGGCCAGGGCCACGCAGCTGGGGTCAGTGTCGGTCCAAGCAGGGGCCAGGACTGCGCAGGGCGGCCAGAGCCTGAGTCAGCGCTCTGGGAGGCTGGCTGGGAGGGGTGGCCGCACGGGCGTCCATCCGGCCAGCCGGCCCGTAGGCTCTGCTGGCGCCGGGGGCTTCGGGGACCCTCACCCTGAGAACTCTCCCCACTTCTGCTCCCGGGCTGAGCTCCTCCGTGGTCTCCCCTGCTCTGGGACCTCTAGCCCAGGGCCCCGACCATCAGCAACCCCCTCTCTGCCCAGGGGTGAGGGCCGGGCGAGCCGGTGGGAGGGGGCAGCTTACAGGGTCTCCTGCTCGGGCAGCTTGGGGGACTGGCCGCCTCCGTCCTTGTCTTGGGCCCGTAGCTGCCGGTCCCTCTCCCGGCGGCGCCGCTCCCGGGCGGCCTCCTCCTCATCTTCCGCGCTCCGCTGAGTGGTGAGCCTGGGGGACACGGAGACACGGTCACACCGCAGCCCGCGCCCTGCCACTCTGGTCCAAGCCGCCTCCTGTCTAGGCCTCAGTTCCCTCGTCTATAGAGCAGAGGTCATGGGAGCTGGTCGCAGCGGTGCCCTCGGGGCCCAGGGGGCGCTCCCAGGGCTCTGTAGGCCTGGGGATGGAGGGGCTCCAGGGACAGGCAGGCTGGAGCAACCCCAGTACTGAGTAAGACCCCTGCGTCCCCTCCACCAGCCAGGTTCCCTTGGCCTAAGCAGAGCTGGGCCGCAGAAGACATGGAAAGAGGCTGCTGGAGGTGTCACACGTCCTACCTGCATCAGGTGGATCAGCCTCGGCCAGTCAGGCACTGCCGGGCTGGGCTGGTGGATCAGCCTCGGCCCAGGGACCCCCTGGGTCCCGCCAGGGGCAGGCGTGGCTAGGCAGCCACCTCCTTAGCCGACCCGCCCAGCTGGGGTGCTCCCTCCTGCTCCCCAAGGGCCTCGCATGTTGGAAGGAGGTGGCCCCCCAAAAGGGCCCAAGGTCCACAGAAGAGGCTGCATCCAGCTGGAGCCTGACCCCTCTCTGGGCTGTTTCACAGATGAGGAAACTGAGGCCCACCGCAGAGCCAGCATCGGAGAGCTTCCTCCATCAGTGCATGCTGGCCCCACAGCTTCTTGGGGTCCCTCGCTCAGGGCTACGCAAGGTGGGCCTGGGACAGGGGGTCCACAGCCTGGTCCCCCTGGCCCTGGCCCAGCAGATCTCAGACTATCGGGGTCCGGGGGGCACCCCAGGCCTTGGCCACTGACATGGCCCTGCCTCCCCCAGCTCCCCTGGACCCCAGGAGGGGAGTCCTGGTCTCTGCTTCTGCAGGGGTTCCCACTGCCCCAAGCTGGGGTCTCAGTCCCTTCCTGCTGGTGTCCGCTGCTTGACCCCACAGCCCGCTCCTTCTGGGCCTCCATCCCTTGGCCGGGATGGCCGGCTCCATGGTCTCGGCAGCCCTGCCAGCCATGATCTAATCTCTCCTCAGTCCTCCCAGGGCCTCCCAGACAAAAGCCAGGCCCCTCCGCAGCCCCCGCTCGGGGCCCCCTCCCCCCCGCCGCTGTGGCCCCCTGAGACCTCCGCCGTGCTCAGACCTCAGCACCCCCAGTCCGCCCACCCTCACTCCTCAGCAGGACCTCTGGCTCCCACCCCCAGGGCCCCGGGGAGCCCCTCCTGCCCCACACCCGGCTCCCATCCTGCTCCAGGACCTCGGCTGGGAAGCTGCAGGGCTGTGTTTTCCGGGGAGGTAGAGCCTAGGGTGCTCTCGGGCTGTGGGGACTTGGGGTCTGAGGTTCTTCCCCGCCATTCACCCCTGCAGACCCTCTTCATGGAGGGTGTGAGCAGGTGGATGCAGTGGGAGCTCGGTGCTGTGTCCCTGGCTGTGGGGTGGAGTGTGGGCCCACCAGCCTTCTTGTGGGGTGGCCCCTGGGGGCACCCCAGGAGGGACTCCTGGCCATTCCTGACTGGACTGGACCCCTTGTTCCACTTGCTCGCGTGTCCTAGCTGCACATGCCTATCAGCGAGTTTGTGTCGGGGTGTTGGCAGCGTTCTGGCCAATGGGTGATGCGTGGGTGTGAGTACGTGGGCCCAGGTCGGGTGTGGGTGGCCCGGGAAGGTGTGCTTGCGTCCGAGGCCTGAGCTGAGCCTCAGGTCCCCCTCCAGCCTGCTCTTGGGAACCCCCGTGGGGGCCTCTCTCCAACATTGCTCCTGCTTCCCAGGCCCCTCTGCCGAGATCTGAGCGCAGAACCCACAATGTGTCTGGTCACCCCAGACACAGACATGGGCTAAGCCTCTGGGGTCTGCCCGTACGGCGATAGGTCCAGGCCACAAGAGCCCTGTGCGGGCCCACACACGGCAGGGCCCCACGCATGGACACTCAATGCGTGGCTGGTCCTCCCTTGCACACACAGAGGCATGCATGCACACACACACACTTCCTCCATGGGCTCTATCCACACTCAGGCCAACGTCGGCACACATGCCCGCCCTCCATACGTGGCCCCAAACGCCCCCCGCATGCACACACGTGCCCATACGCGGGTGTCCATCTGTACACGCAGACTCAGAAGTGGGAACAAGGTGAGAGGCAAAATGGCAGGTCCAGTACCCCCACCCCGGCACCCTCACCATGGCCTCGACAGCGGCCCAGGATGGAGGCATGTTTTCTGAGAGCAGCATTCCCGAGGAGCCGACCCCTCCGAGGGTCACCCCTCATGACCTGACTTCTGCATGTGGCCCCGAGCCCCCACTGGCAGGAGCTTGCAGGGAGCAGAGCAGGGCTGCAGGGTAGGGGTCTCCTGCTGTCCCCCAAGCCCCATGCTGGGAGACCCAGCCGCCTAAGGACAAGGAGCCCTCCCCCCCTCGCCTCCTCCCTCCCGCCAGCCCCAGGATGTGAGTAATGCAGCCCCTCCTGGCCCCTCCCGTGACCTCACCCCTCACTGTTCCACAGCTGGGCTCCGTTCTGGGAACTGAGAGGGGGCGGCTCTCCTGGGGTGGGGTGGGGGCCTCTGGCCTGGGAAAGGCGCCCCCCTTCCCCGGCCAGCAGCCCAGACCCCTTGGCAGGCTCCATGGAGCTGTCAGGACACGGGCGATGGCCGCCCCCCACCCTCCCACCCCCGCCCCGTGGCCCCTGGCTCAGCCCGAGTGCAGCTGTAAGGGATTTGGTGTTCCTTAGCAAATGCAATTAGGCTGTTTCCTGTGTCTGTTCTCACTCTGCGCAGCCAAGGGTTCAGCCCCAGGGGCCGCGGAGTGGGGCTCTGCACCCCAGCATCAGGCTCTGCCGTGGGGCCTCGCTCCACCCAGGTGCACAGTGTGGCCAGACCCCAGCAGGCCCCAGGAAGGCTCACAGCTCCCCATTCTGGGTGGGGGTCCCCCAGTCCAGGGGCTGCTCCTGCTGGTCAGGTCCACTGCCTACCGGCCCCGACTCGAGGCACCAGCCCCCCTCTCTCCTTCCTCTGCAGCATCCCCCTTGTGGCCCCCCCAACCACTAGGGTCCGAGGATAGAGGATTGGAGGATAGGGTCCTGAGCCGACTGGCCTCTCCAGCTGTCGCCCCCCCGCCCAAGCCTGCATGGGTTGGTCCCAGCTTGACTCTGCCCCCTGCAGGCAGCTTGTGGGCCACCCCACCTGTCTCTCCCGCCAAAGGTCAGCTCAGAGTCACGGGGAGAGCTTGGGGGCTGGGCTTGGGGGCCAGGCTCCAGGGCCAGGCCTGCTGGAGGAGAATTCTTCCTTTAGGCTTGCAGGGGACACTCTCGGCTACAGGGGTCCCGGACACAGCGCGTGGGAGCTGCCCGAGAGGCTGGGGAGTGGGACTGGCCGCCCCGCTGGGAGCAGAGACCACAGGTCTCCCTGAGGACCAGCATGGTCTCTGTCCCCTCCATGCCCTGCCTCCCCAGGGTCTCCAACACTGTCCACCAGTGGACACTTGCTGAGCGACTGGTCCCTCATGAGTGAAGGCGCGTGGTGGGGGGCGGTGAGCCCACGGAGAGGCCTTCTTAGTGTAGGCTTCCAGGGGTCCCCAACTACCAGAGAGCAGGCCCCCGAGGGCAGAGGTCAGCGGCCCTGGCCGGGAGTTCAGGGGAGAGCGTGGGAGGGTGCCCCCTGGTGCTTATGACCATGCAGGGAGGGTTCTGCGGGTGTGGCACGGCCAGGGTGCTGGCTGTCACCCGTCCTTGCCGAGAGGCAGCTGGGGGGAGCCCAGAGCGCGAAGGCAGCCCCAGAGCAGCAGGCGGGTGGTGGGCGGGGCGGCGGGAGGCGCACACTGCTGCCCCAGGCCAGGGGTGTGGGCAGGGAGCTGCAGCTGCCCGGAACCTGGCTCCCCGACGCCCCGGCCGCCTGCCCTCCCGGCCGCCCCTCCTCCAGCAGCACCTTTCTGGCTGTGCCGGGGCCCTGGAGCGCATGGGGAGAGACGACCCCTTTCCTCGAAGGCCCAGCCAGTCAGTGGGCCAGGTAGACAGCCCCCCGGGCACGCCCAACCCCACTGGCCCGGGGAGCCCAGGAGGCGACTTTGAAGTTGGGTCTGAAAGATGAGCCAGGGCTCCTGGGCCAGGGAGAGGGTACTACAAGAGGAGAGCCAAGAAGGCCAGTGGCCAGAGGGCTCGGTGCGGCCGTGGCCAGGAGGGGCAGCTGTGGGGAGATGGACAGGAGGGTCTCCGAGCCCCCCATGGGGCACAAGAGGCCTGGGAGGGGGACTACCAGCCAGGAAGGTGGCGTGGGCCGAGGGACAGCAACCTCCAGAACTCCGTGCACCCCGGGAGGGAAGGGGGGCGGGTTTGGGGGAGGCCCCAAGGTGAGCTTGGGTGAGCAGAGTGTGGGGTGCATGGGGACTCCCAGAGAGGTGGTCAGGAGGGACCCAGGCCAACCCGGGGAGAGCCCTGGGGATGAGTCACCCCTGAGGGAGCTGAGGGGCAGTGGGGGAGCACCAGGGTTCTGGGGTGACGAGGGAGTGGAGAGTGGCCAGGGGCACAGGGAAAGGCCTGGAGTGCCAAGCCCCTAGGTCCCCTTCCTGTCTCCCTCCCTCCTCCTCCATGCTGGGCGCCTCATAGGGGTTAGAGCTGCAGGGGCGGGGACAGCCGGGGCCTTCACCCCAGCCCTGGGGCCTCAGTGTCCCCGCTGAGCGCTTGGCTCCTCCCCTGCTGTGCAGGAGTGCAGCCCTTCCTGACCCTCCCCTTTGTGGTCGCTCCCAGAAGGGGCAGCACCCGGCGGCCTGGGGGTGTTGTTAGGTCTCTGGAAGACCCAGGGCAGAGCAGCTGGGGACCCTGGGGGCTCTGGAAAGTTCTGAGCAGGGAGGAGCTCAGTGGAAGGCAGTTGGAGGAGACACGAGAATCATGGGGGGGGGGGGCTGAATGGAGGGAACCACAGGAGGTCACCCCAGGAGGAGGGGCTGGGGCCAGGGCAGGGCTGTGGCTTTGGTCTCTCTGATCCCCTTCCCAGGGTGAGGCCCCGGGCCTGGCCTCTGCTCCCCAGCTGTAA